TTTGACTACTCTTACCAGTAGAATAGGATTAAGGTGTGCATCATATAACGCACACGTGACATTGATTGTGACACACATGATCAATTAACTCACACTTTTCAGATTGAGTAAATTGAAATTTGTCAACTTCCGGACTGTATCCCATGCGTGTGAGCCAACGAAACAGACCACGTGCACGCGAACCACCGTTTCGGCCTCAAAGTGATTTGATCCATCCTCTAAGATAGCTTTGACAGTCAAAGCCATTGACATTGGGGGCAGCATGGAGCACAATTCCAATGCTCCGGTTTTGGAATCAATCCTGAATGCGTTTTGCTCAACCCCTTGATTCTCAAGTAAGTACTGGATTCTACTTGTAGATTTGATCTCGTCAACTTGTAGACGGATAACAGGGATGAGACTGGGTATTTCATCCTCACGAATCGTCACATGGTTTACGGGTTTTGTGAACGAAAGCGTCTCAAACACTAAAGACGTAAAATAGAACAAAGCGGGAGATTTTGGGAACGGAACATGACTTAGTTTATCAATAGCAAAGGACGACTTCTAGAGTGCAATATTTCAAAACACGGTATTGAGGAAAGTGAAAATAGTCAATGGTGTGCGACTGGATTCATTCTTGGTGACTAGCAAAATACTTCAAATACTACGATTGAACATACCCAGCGGAGAGCACTGTAGAAACGGTAAAAGTGTTACTGCATGAAACATGGTCTACAAATTTCGATGATGACACCGTAATTGATGAGAACCTGTCCAAAAGAGAAATTTATACAATGCCTACTGTGAGGTGGCAGTTTCTAATTCGCCAAAATACGATTGACTTAAAACTGAACAGCCAGTCCCAAAATGTTCGGATAATTGGCCAATCAAATGAGAGAAAAATTGCAGGTGGAAAAACCGAAGCCCTAGTTACAAACCATGAAAAACAAATTTTAAGAAGCAATACTAATGCTGATCAGTTTGGCTTGGCCGTTACACATTGATTCCAATCTAGCTGCCAAATGACGATAACAAGCATGAACTGAAGGGGCTTTTTAAACAGATGCGAATTGACCAAGAAGTCCTTTCTTTGGAAGTTAGTTCTAGCCCAAAGCTATGCACAATTTACAGCACTGAATGAAAACTGAATAGAATGGATAAATTTCAATGAATTTTTCACTCTGGATTTTTCTTGAGATAAATTCTGATTACCCAATGAGATCCGCCCTAAAACTGTCATAAATGTCCCAGCTATAACTCTTAAGTGTTTTCAGATTCGTGTCACTATTACAGCTGTTTGCAATCGGCATTCTTATGAGCCAGGTCAGGCAGCAATTTCAAGTCAAATCAAGTCATATGCATGCAATATGCATCCCATGTGGTGAATATCCATCTGTCATATGAACACAACATTTATTGAGTGAATAAGAGAAAAAAACAGGAATGGCCATCAACTCATTTATGGCTTGATCTGTCTTGTTAGGAGTTCCGACGAGAAAAGGGACAACATAACATTTGTATGATTTTAACGAACATGTTCCTGCAACTAGGTGGGCTGGAATGATTCGGAACACGTCTAACAGGAACGCGGTGGAATAGGTGTCAGGCGTCAGCTAATGTTTTTTCGGACAGACTTGGCAAACACAGGAATATTGTATTGCTGATTAGTGGGAGGAGGATACACGATTGGTGTACCGCTGCACTAAGAAACAGTCTTCAGCAACCTGATGTTAAATTAGAAGCATATTTGATAGACAGTGGGATGTCGAAAGCTAAAATGATAACAAGATGCCTAGAGAATAAATGGAACCTTGTAAAACGCTCAGTTTCAAAGTTGTGGGGGAAGAAGCCGTGCCACGATAGCGTGTGAATTAGTGGCGTTTACCGAAGCAATCATATATCTGAAGGTGTCATTGTAGTCTGAAAGAGCACCATGCGAACCTTACTTTTCTTGTCTAGGGATGGCAGAATGTGATGGCATAAATAGCCATGGGACCGAAACGAAAAAATGGGTGTTTTCTCATGACAGATTACACCTGAAGAATTTTGGTTCCACTACGAGTCCGGTATACTTTCAGATTATGGTAGATATAGGTCAGGGATAAAATTTATATTTTTTCTTCTAAGAAATGTTAGCAAGACATTTCCGGAAACCGTGATGTGATAAGGCGCTAAATAGACTACGCTTTATTCGACCATGTACTGAACATATTGTGTTAGCTCTAGCTCAGATCGGTTTCAATAACCCTAAATAATACTTCAAATTTCAAAAATCTGTAGATGAAATTATTCGATTAGATTATCTTAAACTTGAATTTCATGAGGATTTTAGAACACTCCAGTCTGGTTCACCCACATAAAGAGCTGAAATGAGAAATGGCCACGGCTTAAGCAAATATACGAAACTCTCTACTTCAGTTAGCTTCGGAAATTCAATTCTATAAAAGTTATACCTAAATATGCCATACGAGAGAATATATATGGAATTCTTTATTTGTGGTTAGAATTTATTGGAAGCTGTGATTTAGCAACACCATGAATTGTTGGCGGTTTAATTCCGGCTCTCGGTGTTGGACTTTTTGATGAAAAATCTAAGTGGATTTCCCATTGTGTAATATCCATACTGCTTGGGCCAATAATATATTTGATGGAGGTTTTTCATAGTCTATTCGGTCGTATTCGGCAGTGTGACGTTTGTCCCACTGGGCAGTGACTAAAGAAGATAGTCCAGTTATTAAAACCAGAACATGTAATGTATATTCTTGAAACAGTGTTTTTTGCATCATTGTATATTCGTTTGTGTTATTCACATTCGACTGGCCGTAGTTGCGCAGCTCCGATGGTAGCGCATCTTCTCGGTAGTTAGAAGGTTGTCTTTCCAGTCCTGACTGGCGGGGTTGCACTTTTGGAGGCGAAGAAAGCAATATTGATTAGCTGCTGTCCGTGAGTAAATATATCATAGAGATTAGATGGGAATAACTTGAGAAAACTAACTAGTTACAACTGTTACTGAATATTTCAAGGGTGACTGCAAGTCACTGTTATGAAAAGATCACATATACTCTTCCCATAGCGCTTCTTATACATTGAGTTAACAGTATGTACAGCTGGAAGCCATTCTTCCCCGGAAGCCTGGCCATGCAAATAAAATCAAAGTAGACGTTTTCATCCTCGAGGGTTCATTGCTGTCGGTTTGACCAAAAAATATAATTCTAATGTCATGCCAGAAATTACCAATTGATATTGAAGTTAGTGAAAATATTGTTTGTACTATACATAGAAAACACGAATGGAGAACAAGCTCGTTTTCGGTAACATCATCCTCGTGGCTAATACAGCTACATTTATAGGTTAGAAATGCATTAGTTAGGAACTATGTCTGTGTACTAAAGTGTGATTGGACAGTCATCAAAATTGTTGTCTCGTAGTTAGGAAAGATATGAGTGTGATGTTGTTGTTCCGTGGTTGGCAAAGGACCAGTGGAAGAATGAACATGGCTTCCAGGGAATATGCATTTCCGGCTTCAACCAAAGGGTCAACGTCTAGGTCACTCCGAATTCCAGGATCTGTCTCGGATAGTGTTAGGGGAAGTCTGAAAAGCAATGGATTGAATAATCTGACCGCTATGGCCTTTGCCGTTGCTAGATGTTGTTTTCGAGCGACTTCGTGCGCGTTCGTGGGGACTCTGTATACTATTTTGAACGCGTCGTCGTCTATGCAATGTTCAGTATTTGCAGGGTGCGCCACAATTGCGCTGACTATGAGTTTCGTGTTTCCGGTAGTAAGTCAAGTTGGTTTGTTCCCTTTGATCCTTTGTGGTAATTGCCGTGTCGTTCCACCCATATAGCTTGCCAAACAGGAGCAAACAAACGAGTAGGTTATCATGGATGAGATGAGGACAGGTAAGGTGTCCTCCAGATTCGTTGAGATCACTGGTCGACTGGTGAAGCGGGCACGTAGAGTAAGAGCGAGAAAGGTGCAAGCGATTGCCTTTTCCAAGCGTCTTATTAGTGACTCCTTTAAAAGGGAGTTGAATGCATAACTATTTCTTCTTGCCGGTCACTCAAGCTTGTCCCGTTGCTCTTTCTGCCATGTTCTTCTGAATGAAGCGGTCGGGGTATCCGAAAACCAGAACCGTTTGCCTTACCATGTCTAATTGTTCATTCACCGCCTCATCCACGAAAATCATTCGCACACTGGCTGTGAGGGTGTGAATTTGGTTACGTTTACGCCCAACAGATACAAAACTGGCGACATACTCGCACGAAGTCGCACAAGTATTATCTTGAACTCAGTCATGTGAGATCTCTTGAACAAAGTGAATAAACTACAGTTGAGCCTAAGTGATGCTTTTTGACCATTTGATATGTGATAAAGTAAAAACTGAATATCCACTTCTGGGACGGAATCAAGCATTCGCTTAAGTTGACTGGGAGTTTCATAGAATTAACTTTGCATACATACTTTTTAAAGCCGAAAAATCTACATGCCTATACTTGGCAACCTATACAAGGGCACTCAAAAATGCTTTGTTGATCGAAATTATAAACTTTCAACAAAACCAGTAGTGTCATTTAGAGAATTCACAAAGCAATTGATAAAGCCCAAGGTGTGTGATTTTCCACCCCTCCCCCCATTGTGCTCGTTTTACCTAATAGCTCAATAATTCATTGCAAATTACCAGTCAACGACGAACGATGCTTCAATGATTTTGCACGATTGATCAAAGCGGCTTGCTAGTAAATCGATTGTGCTTAGCATGGGTTTTGCCTGAGCACTGTGATTGGTCACATTAGACCGTTTTGCACTTCGTATTATACATACTTGGCTGTGTGTGTCAATGTGCTCACTTTTTGATAGATCGTGCATATACCAATATGCACACACGTTTGCATAATCACGTCTCAGTGTTATTTGTTAATTTCTATCCTTCGTGTGTCACGAATTTTGTTCTACCATGAAACCTGTGGTTATCTTATGGGGTATTGTTTACCTAATCAGTTTTAGTAGGACAGAAAATGCAAGTGACGTCGGTAAGTTCAATTTTGTGTATCAAAACACAATTTTATTCCAACTCATATCGCGTACTTACAGAGGTTTTTCAGGGCAATGTACTCGGTGAGTTGACCAACACCCGACTTCTTGTTGCTTGAATCCTTCTTTCGTATTCTGCCATCTCCTTCTTGGTTTCCAGTTTTGTATCCGTGGTGATAAGAAAATCACGAAATCTCTGAATTTCTTGCTGTTTTACGACCTAGTCTACGAAATGAAGTTTTCCATACCGGAATGCGGAACCGTCAGTGAAGCACTATACAAGATCATCCAGCTCTTAGATATTGTACCCATTTGCGAAGTGGTAGGTGACAACGACCTGAATGTTTGAGTTATAATGTATCTGTATGTATTGCCTTATACACTTTATCTACGTACTTTCTATCCATCAGGTTGATCAGATGGTTTCATTTATGGATTGGAACAGGAGCTACACTTACATTGGATGTTCTGAACAATCGCAGTTTGCTCGGAGTGGATTAATCTACATGCATTTCTTCGTAGAGCGCATAGATACAAATGTTGATGCCAGTTGTTTGAATTCTTCTGCAAAAACATTCAATCAGTTAATTAAAAAGAGAATGAAAATACATGGAACGATAGACTCGGAAGCCTTCGAAATCAAAAGTAATGAAGTTAAACTTACTTCACAAGAGTTTATTACTGCTGATTTCAGAAAGTATCGAACAAACCCACGATTTAGATAATAACATTGTTTTTTACATGAATAACATATTGTAGATTATATTTGACTTTGTGATACTAAAAATTGAGAAATGGTATACACCGACTAAAAATGTTCGAGTGAATTTTGGTAAATTGCTGCAGAATTTTTTCTATCCTCAGTGGCTGTAATACAACGTGATGCCATCAGTGAGTATGGCCCTTCATGTCACCCACAGGAAGGCGACGCGGAAAACGTCATTGTGTATGCATGATTTCAGGATGACAGTTTCTCTACCTGCACGCGACTTCATAAACTACTTTCTTGAATAATGAATATTTTTCAAGCACATTATTTGCAAACATTTTGATCTCTTTTACTCTGCTATATTTTTAGTCACATTTGATAACAACCACGTGTAATATGCATGGTTATTTTCGATTCTGATGCACAGTTTTCAGACAATTTTTTGAGTATTCCAGATCGGAATGGTTGGAAAGTAAGCACCTCCCAAAGGAAAGCCATATTTCACGTAAACACCAAACACGATTAGGGGTAAGTGTTGGAGATGTTGCCTTGGGTTACATATTGAATAAAGGTGCAATGCAATCAGTTTTTTGATGAAATAATCTATACTGCGCTTCAAATAAGTGAACTTGCTTTGAAAGAACACAAACACAGTGGTTAAGAATTTGAATTTGGCGAAAATATCTCCTTTATTAGAGGTAAACTTTTTTAAATAACTCAAAATTCGTTTTTTCACTCCGACAGTATTTTGTACATACGCTGTGAATAATTTTTGATCGGATATTCAATAAACCGCTTTTCATATTCGGGTTGATATTTGCACTAAAGTAGACTACTTTTCTTCAGCTCAGATAAATCAATATTTAGTAGTGGTGATTATGTGTGAGTGGACTGACTGATAATGACTGACATTTGATTGATCAGTGATCAGTGATATTAAATTTGAGCCAACGTAAAATTACACAGAATAATTAGAAAAACCACCTGTTTATTGGTCACTGAAGTGCAGTTTTTTGGATTATACTCTACATTTACAGCTGGAGCATTGCTTGAAGAGGGAACAACGTGAACTGATGAACGACAGTCGTGTGTACACATACTGGTGGTCGGGATTTGATGGGAACATGATTTGCGGACATCTTTGGACACATGGATCTGCGCACCAAACAAGCACGCAACAAATGAGAAGCTTTTTCCTAAGGTGTATCAACACCACCAACTTAACCATAGTTCAAAGTAAATTGAAACATTTTAGTGCTCACACGAATACATATTGCGCTTTCATACACATTGACTGACTCCGATATCAATAAATAATGATGCGACCGTCTTGTTGACTAATCATAATGAGGAATTCACAACAATATACAGAAACTTGTACATTGTTGAGCATGTATAGCAAGCAACAAATTGATTTGAGGACTCATGATATCCATCGCTGGATAATGACAATCGCAAATGACCTTACAAGCATAAATCTTCATACTAGCGTTACAGCTGGCGAAAGGTAATCGAAAACTTCAGGCCGACAGATAGTTTGGACCGGTGGTAGTAGATTGGCTCAATGCGTTTCCCTACCGTCTCGAAGGTCAGAATTTCCGATTCCCACTAGAATTCACCTTGGTGGTAGAGAGTAATCCACTCTCATTTGGCTTGATACTACACATGACCTTTTGGGAACTTACTTCGTTCTCTAGTTCAGATCTCAGAGTGGGGTTGCCGGCTCTTGCTGACAGCAGTGAGCCTTCGCGGCAATGACGTAAGCCCCTTCTACTGCACTAATACCAACACTATGCAATACATCACTGATTTCTATTAAGGCTGGTCAGCTCAAATTTGGAATATCAGTGTTGATTAGGAGACAAGAACTGCAATGTTTGAACCACATAATATTCAAACCGGTTTTAAAACTATTCACTGAGGACATGTTCTCGATATTTCCCATTTAGTACAAACGAAATTGAATAAGGAACAAAGTTATTCTACACAATTCATTTTCTACCCATTCCTAGATTTAGAAAAGAGAGAAACGTTGGAGATTGAGTGTCCATCAAATGACAGCCGTAAGCAAAACCTGACCATTTTCCACGCTGAAATTCGATTTTACATGCTGAACTTTATTCTCATACTTGGTTTGTCTTCACAGATGACAACAAGGTGCAAAGCACAAATAAAACTCTAAAAAATTCTGGTTTGTCCTAACTGCTTACATATAATATTTCCAGTTGATTTACCCAAAATTACCTCATTGAAGCATCACAGTCTGTTTAATCTCGAAGTAAAATGCAATACAACATACATTATGTTCACCAGCATGGATCAGTTCCATCTACCTACAATGGATCTTTTGATCATTTTAGGTCAGGAAGTCACGATTCCATGTAGGGGCGAGTACGAAAATACTACCACAATCCCCATCTATTCCACAGGAGGTATGTCAGACTGTTGAGGTATATTCCTTTTACAAAGTGTATCGATGAAAATGCTTCAACGAATCAAACCGATGCTTGATCCCAGTAGATAGTGTATTAAGCAGTTATAAACAGAATATGAAACCGTATTTTCTCTGCTAATGATACCATAATTGGTTCACTGGATGATATTTATAATTTTTCCCCTTTTGTAGTTACACAGCCAAGTGCATCTATTTCGGAAATTACGACACTGGTTTCCTGTGGTACAATTTGGATCAGAACTTTTGGAATTATCGCGATCCTCCCATCTTCTTCCTTATTCATCAATGTTTTCTTCTTGTGATTATCCAACACCGGACCCCTCGCTTCTCGCTGTATCCATCTATTTAACCATATGGAATATAAATAGCTTCCAACTGGTAAAGTTTATGAATCGCATCGGTACCACGGTGAAATAACCCTGGAAAGTGGGAGATTTAGTTACATTTCATCAGTTCAAGATGGATGCTGGAGGTCGACCACAGAGCGACTGAAAAGTGATACGTGCAATCATTTTTACCGTTTGCTTGGCTCGGATGTCAGTTGGAATATAACTTAACCCTATAAGACGTTTAAAAATTTCGTGGTTTAAATTCAAATAAAGGTTTCCATGGATTTCCTGGAATTCTGTATTTATATAGAGTATTTCCAGGATTCTCTGTACCACGGCTTCCAAACCGTCAGATTGCACGAAATTATGTTCTTTTACTTCTATAAGTCATTACGAAGCAAAGTTTGCTATTGGTGGAAAGAGGACGAAGCCATTGACAGGCTGCCAAATGAGGAATCACAAGGTAGTGGCAGAAAACGAACCCGGGTTGAAAGGGTTCAAAGTTCATGGTGACATCCAATTGATCACCGATGAGCACAAATGTTTTCATCGGTTTTAATCGGTATGGATAGCAAAGGATTTTAATTTATTAGCCATTATTTCTCCTTGTGATAACAACGACCAATGTATCATTTAGAATCTTGAAAAAGCTGCGCAGCTGGTGGTAGTGTTAGGACAGAGATCACATCCAAAATTGCGAGAGCCAGAGCAGCTTTCGTGAACCTGCGTCTTATGTGTTACCGCCATGACATCCGGTTTTCCTACAGGAGAAGGATGTACACTGCCACAGTTCGTAGCTTTTTTCTTTACTGTTGTGAGACCTGGCCCCCAGACTTAAAGATGCCCGGCTTCTTTCCGTATTCAACAATCGATATCCCAGAAGCATTGCTTGAACCTGGTAGCAACGTCAGGTGAGCAATTACGAGATTCGTTGTCATCCTCTGACCAAAATAATCTTTACACCACATCCAATAGCTCGGGAATGTTTTGGGCATGCCTGCCCATCGTTTACCCTTGCGTCCTCTTTTTGCTCACGCTAGTCAAGGCAAGAAGAAAGGATGCGGCGGTCAGGCTATGACTTGGCGCAGGTGCATGAATAATTTTGCTTCAGATTTGACATCGGTTGGTGCTTCAGTTCTTCCTAGTTGGGACCCGAGACATGAGGATTGCCGTTGGTTAGGGACGATGAGAGAAGGCTCGGAACAGAATCCTGTGCCTCGAATGCTTTTCATTCCCAATAAACAATTGCAAAAGAGACAGAAAATTCACAAAACATGTGCAGTGTTAATATAAGAGATTTGCTTTTACTTGTTGTAATCTTTATGTTGACCCCTAAAGCTCCTCCCCCGACTTTGTATTTATCTCCGTAGTGTTGTTGCTTTTGCACCATGGTTGTTCTTAGCTGGATATATATATATATATATATATATATATATATATATATATATATATATATATCGTCACTGCACATCCACTGAGTCTCAAATGGTTCTGAAACCCTGGTGGATGTTTGTGAACTGAACGTCATATTACAACCACGGCCACCAAGGGTCCGACTCTAAACGGCTTGTCTTATATCCTAACAACAAGACGAAGCATCCTTCGGCCACAAGCGTTAGCAATTCATCTTTCTTTCACTGAGTATAATGTATAACCTTTACCAAGCATGTCCTTAATTTCATTTTTACCGGTAATGAATTACTAGCCTGGTCAACATAGGATCGTAGTTCCGTTGCATTTCAGGTTCGAACGCAAATTGTATGAACAAATCTTTGTTTGTAGTACTGTATACGTCCAATGAAAGCTGAATCAAACGGGAATCTAATGATCTCATTCTTCCTGTGCATGACGGCATTGATGCAGAGGCGTTGGTATTTATATCTGGAAGTGCGGCATCCAGTGGATGCCTTTTGGACGACTGGATCCACTTCCTTCTTGCTCCTAAATTGAATGTTACTATTCGGAAGCTAAAATATTTAATCGGAAGTGGTGCGGCAATTCTAGAGTAATTGACACTGTGGTTTGCTTTTGTCCAGCAAATAAGTGTGCTTGAAATTCAGATAAAATCTATCTTTGCTACCACCGACCGGCCTCACTCATGACATAAAATGAGCTTGAGAGAGAAGTGGTGTAAACTATACTTGCTTTGAAATGACCGAGATGATGATGGGAAACAAAGTCTACTGATATTCAATGTGCCTAAATTTACTCTCAAGAAATCTCCTTATTCTCTTCAGCAAGGATTCCAGCATGTTGTCTATAAAATAATTTGGAGAACACAGTTTGGTGAACAAGCTCGTTTTCAGTGATTCATAATCATGCCATTACATTACAGTATATTACGACAAGTCAAAGGGTTGAACCAATTAGATAAGCGGGAAGATGAAAACTGAAATCACAAGAGAAACAATACACATCCGGTTTTGATTTAAGCCCGGAATACAATTGTTTTCTCACCCCCACCCACCCCCACCCCTTTCATTATAATTTTTCAACTTCCCACTTATCTAATTGGTTCAACCTTTTGACTAATCGTAATAGATTGTGATGTAATGGCATGATTATGAATCACTGAAAAAGAGTATGTTCGCCAAACTATGTCCTCTAAATATAAAATAATTGCTTGTCTTGCTCACAATGATGCCACTAGAAAAATCATATAGCCTAAGAAATGGCTTCTATCTATATACATGGTTAATCTTTGTGAATCTGATCACTGTTGTTCACTTTACATTCGCGAACACAATCTGCGACCTATCATTTTCTTTTTGCAAGCAGCTAATTTCTCTCTAATAAAGACATATGGTCGAAAATCTACTGGCACTTGGCCTAGGATTAGGCCGACAGTTTCCTTGGACTTTTACGATTGCCGACTTTATTCGCACTACTTGACGTGTCGGTTTTCTTGCTAGTTTGTCTCTTGTGGTTGCAGTGACACACCGTGTTCTGTTGGAGAGCAGTAAGCTTTTATGGCTTAAGAACCTCCATCAGCCCTTATAGGATTCGACCCATGACGGTATGCCTGCAATTTTCTATTTCGTACGATTTTCTGGTGGTCATACAGCCACATACATCACAAGCACCACGCAGTGTCCCAAGTCACATTGTCCACAAGTGTTCGTCAATCTTGGCTTCTCACAGACGGCTATTACCCGGAAGACTATCTTTGGTCAAAGAAGCATTCTAACATATGTTGGGCATGGGGATAATTCACCTGTTGGGCAGTCATTTAGCCGTCAAACTCCATATGGTTCCAAAGCACAACGGTGACAGTCGCCCGTGTGGCGATTGTAGTGCTCTCAACGACGCGAAGGTTCCCCTCCGATACCCAACCGTACACACTCACGAATTCTTTAACAGTTTGTGCAGTAAATACATTTCTCCAAAACTGATTTAGTAAGTGCGCATTACCATAATCATGCAGATGTTTGGAAGACCGCCATAACCACGCTACTTTCGCTGTTTGAGTTAGTTTGTTTACATTCTGACTCGCGTAAGTCCGCACAAACATTCTAGTGACTCAAGTAACAGGATTCCATGACTCGGATATTTCCCTGGTGCATACTGATCAGTATGAATGAACGTCAACATTGTGAGCGCATAAGCAAGTATATGAATGATTCCAAGATGATCCGGTTATTCCCGCTGAGCAAATTTAGAGAACGGATTGGTAAATAATTTTTCCGTGATTTTTACCCAGGCATTTACACCAAAGTTTATTACGAGAAGCAATGGTATTAGTCCACTGGGACCACTGTTTACCAAAGCCTTTGTGACAAATTTGGTAAAAGACCGCTTGAATCAAAAATCCCCAGCTGTTATTTATACCAGCGATATGTAGACAACAACCGGTGTGGTATCAGTTGCTCAGATGAGATAGATCAGCTCTCGAATATGTTTACATCAGCTCATAAGAGCTTAATGTGTACAATGGAAACAGGTTCAATCAATGCAATATTATGCTTCGACATCCGGATGGAAGAGGTTAGGTAATCACTTTATCCAAGTATTTACGGAGTATTTGAACGTAGCCCAATAACACTTTTGATCGCTGTACTTAACCCACAGATCCCAGAGAATATTGCTGAAGGCGAGTCGTTGACTCTCTCTCTCTGCTTTCCTCGCGCGCTGTCTGCAAACATGCTTGCACTCTTTCGAATGTCGACAGGACCACAGCACTTGATGGCCTCACTGATTGCTCTGTTTTCCATTCAAAAAATGCGTTTTAGTACTATGACCACTTAATGGACTTCCTGAAACTTAGTTACTACTGATTTGCCCCATGGAAGCTTGTTATGTTGGACCCGATAGGTTCATTATCCCTTGCTTCAACAGGCTCCTTGGAGCTAAAAGAAGAGCGTACAAATCTGAATGGCATCCAGCCATTAAAAACTTATGCGTGATATTCAGGTCAGTGGTTATAGAATCTGCTTTGAAAGAACTGATAGAAAATTGAACGACTGGATCTAAAGGAGGGCATTCTGGCTGTGAACCAGAGCTCGGCTTTGGGCAATTAACGAGTGCCATGGACTGCAACCGGAGGTATTTTGTTTCACTAGGCCAATTGTAAGTGGTACTGGATAGATGAAGCTGAATCACTGAGATGGCATCAGAGGCAGGCTACTTTGGCAAGCTATTCGGTTCACTTCGAAACTTATTGAATAAGGGCTGAAAGAATGAGTCATATTTGTGCAATGCAGTTAGTCAGTTTAAACCTGAGCAGAGAAAAAATGGACGAACAGATAAACCATGGTGATCCATTGCTCAAACAACCTTTGAGTCACGCAACAAAAGTACAACCCCAAGATATTCCACGGCCGTGAGATTTCAATTGAGAACCACCAACTATAACCGAGATCACCGCCGCAAAAGACAGCACACCACCGTAAGTCTGCAAGTGCAAGCTGTTGTCACTGATCGACAGGCAGCACAAAGTTTGAATCCATTTGGCAAGAGGAAGTATTCCTGAATGA